AAAAAAACCAATTTACCGCTTCTGGGTCTTCGAACATAGTTTGATCGTACTCTGATATAGCGATACAGAAAAATATCGCGTCTATGCCGTCGTACATGGTCGCCCATTTCCTTCGATCTATTCGTTGGCCTCCAATGTCGAATAACCTGAAGTACTTGTTGCATCATAATGGAATAAGTTAGTCCGAACGTGACTGTGAGGCTTTTCTGTTCCCACTTTATTTGAAAAGTGTAATCGTCTTCGCAAGGAAAAATAAAGAAATGGTGTTAATTTCTTCAAACACAGAAAACCACTATTTATAATTTAAACCGCAGCACACATGTACAAGAATGAACATTAGTTATCAAACACCGGCGTGCGGCATATTTACGACGAAATTGATGAAGAATGTTCCACAGGAGCCAGCCTACGACTGATTTACACATTTTGATAGAGACAAAAAAAATTTCGCATATGGCCTCTATTTTACACCCAACAATAAAAAAACGAAAAACTTACTGGAACACTTTTTTGTCGACTGAAAAAATTACATTCTGTATTCCCACGGTTGGGACGTAGCTCATAATCAAATCACGAACAGTAGGCTTGAAATCCAACTTGTTGATGCTTTCGAGATTTTCCAAAAAACTGTAAGAAGTTTTAGTTGATTTCATATGTCAACTGGTAATATAAGCTAATCTTCCAACCATTTTGCGTTACGTGAATGCCTAGGAAGCATATGACATAATTACTTTACTACGAACTTGGTGTTAGTAGCAAGAAGCAGAAGTTGAGATTTTGGGATTTGATAATTTGTGATTTTCTATTTCTAATAAAAGATGCTTTCGTATTGTTCAAAAAAAATGAGAATTAAATGTTTTACTGATAAGTTATACGACAAGAAAAATGACTTGAACACATACATGAATCCATCTCATTCAAATCATAATAATCGCTTTACTTATTTGCGAAAGTCTCAACAGTTAACTTATAATTTGCGGCAATGATATTGATCGAATTTATTACACTATCGCATCAAACTAAATTTCCTTTAATTTGAGGACGCAGGATTGTTTTTGGATAAAAGCGTGTTTAAGTAATTGCGTTATGCTTACATAACAGAAAACTTGAAGTGCAACTTCGCGCGTATTATGCTTTT